GGCCTTTTGTTAAAGACTCATTGCTTCACCGAAATACAAAGAAAGAGAACAACTGTTACCATGACAGAAGTTGTACTGGTTCACGCTGCACTGTTGGTGTATGTCCTGATAGCGTGAAGGGAGAGACGGAGCACAGCAGCTTGTGCTAACTGAGAAAAGAACGGCTCCATGTGTATTGTATAATCCTGAATTCTTCTCAAATCCAGCTTTCTGGGTGAAGAAGCCCACATGCAAAGAGCTTGTCACAAAACTCAGTTCACTGCTTCAGTGCTACCTGCAGGGCAGGTTACAGCAAGTCTAGGCTCATCTCTTAATCCATTCGGTTGGGGCTATACCCTGTAAAATCCAATGGTTCTTGTGTCCTCCTCTGTATAAACTTCCCTGCAACACTAATGGAGAAAATTTGGTCTAATGGATGGAGGAAGACAGAAAAGGTCTCTAAAACAGGTATGTCCCCTCTTATGGTAGAAGCTGGGGGAACTATCCCCCATCCCTTCTGTCCATCCCTGAGTGCAAGTTCCCCTATTGCCAGATCCAGGCTTGACTGTGGACTGTAATACCCCTCTTCTAAAGTGTGCACGGCAGGGGTGAGTTTTGGTATGCTGTCCAGGGCTGCAAGGGTAGCCCTGCCCCTTGACTGCCTTGGGACTGAGAGTCCCAGCCCCTAGCCCCTGACCTTGGCCACCAGAAGTCCCTCCCCAATCCCAGAAATACTCCTTTTCAGAGGGAGGGTGCTGCCATTTTGAAGCCAGAAGAAAAATCATATTATATTAAAAAAAAAAACCCCAAAACCCAAACATCTGCTATAACTTATTTTAATTTTATTAAAAAAAATTTTTGTCCTGATTTATTTATGTGTTTGCATAGCGTATCTAGATATGATTGCATCATAGTTTAAAATGCAGTCTTACTCTTGTATTTTGTGTGTGGAGGTAGGGGGGTGTATGTGGGATGGTGGGGAGGGAATGAGGGTGTGTGTGTGCAGTGTGTGTATGGTGTGTAGGGTATATGGTTGGGGTAGGGGCTGCAGGAGGGTGTGGGTGTGTTTGGGGGTATGGTAGGGGGTGTAGGGTTACCATATTTCCAGTATCAAAAAAGAGGACACCTGCAAGAGGGAGGGGGATGTGGAGGCGCAGTATATGGTTGGGGGAGGCAGTGATTTGCTTGTGTCCTGCCTCTGGTCCCTTGCTCCTAAGCCCGTGCCCCCCAGCCCTGTGCTGCTCCTCACTCCAAACCCGCATGCCTCAGCCCCCTTGACCCTGCTGGTGCCCCTCACTCTCGACCTGCAGTCCCCTGCTCCCCAGTCCTGCTGGTGACCTGCACTCTGGACTTGCAGCCCCTGGGCCCCCCTCTCCCCAGCCCTGCTGCATGCACACACGCACAAGCACGCACACACGCACTGTGCGTCTCTTACCTGGGAGCAGTTTGCCGAAGCCTGTGTGCAGAGCATGTAACCCCTGACAGCCAATCACCTTCCCTGCTGCTCCCAGCCCCAAGTAGCCAAGCTGCTAGTTCTCAGCAAAAACCTGGCTATTTCCTTGCATTCGAAAAACCCGCCTGGACACGAGGACAGGGGGCCAAAAAAGAGGACATGTCCAGGAAACCCTGGGCGTATGGTAACCCTAGGGTAGTGGGAGTGTGTGTGGGGGCTGTGGGTGTGTGTGTGGAGTGGGGGGTCCTCAGAGTCACTGGAGTGTACCAGTCCCTGGAGCTGCATGTGGTGGCAGTGAGTGGGGCCCCATAGCGTGCAGCTCCCTGTGCTCCCAGCCCAGTCCCCAGCCGCAGATGGTGACAGCATGTGGGGCCAGCCCCACAGCACTCCCACCCAAGTCCTTCCCCTTCTCCAACAACTCACCAAAACTCCCTATGAGGCTTTGGGTTGGGGGTGAACAGTGTTCAGGAGCAGGACAGGTGTGATCCATGCCCTGCCCTGTGGGGGGTGGGGGTGTGTGGAGGGGGATGTGCACATGTGGGAGGGGCTGCCTGGGTACTGGCAAGGGGGGGTGGTGAGGGGAGAGAGATAGACAAGCCTATAGACTTCACTTCATAAATCTACTGGATACAGAAAATCACAGACTAAATATAGGGGTAGAGTACACACCAACTGCAGAGGCTGACAAAGGGTTTTTAAACCCCAAAGCTTGCTAAAATTCCCCCCCCCACACACTATTTAAGTTGGCCTAATAAAAGATATCAGATTCACCCAAAGAACCTTGTCTGGACTAAATATAAACATTGGATTTATGGCACATTATAACCTGCCTGACATCTGAGAAACCCAGGTAACCTGTCTGCATTTTACCAGCTACATATTAACACCAGGTCAATGTTCTACCCCCCACACCTATTGTCTCCCATTCCCTCTGATCCTTGCTGCTACATATTTGCATTTTCACAGACCTGCATTTTGGCTTCTGTTCCACCCAGGAGAGCAGACAAAACACCATCAGACTCTCCCTATGCCTGAAGAAGTGTGTTTGTCTCTGAAAGTTTGCAAAGATAAATTTTCCAAAGATTTAGTTGGTCTAATAAAAGATATCGCATCTACCCAGAGAACCTTGTCTGCCCGTGTCCTTAGACCAACATCTAATGCTCTATTCCAAAACCTTATTCAGGCTCGATTCATTCCTTGGTACCTGTAATCAATGTTCCGCTTACTTTAGCGTAACCAAACAGTAACAGAAACGGTCACTGTTCTTCATGAATAACACCTGAATGGTAAAGGCTAGCAGATATGAATAATCTTTGACTTTGAGACCTCATATGGCTCAGCTCTTTCCAGATTTTGTCAGCTTTTGGCTGAAATAAAGCTCAGGTTGAACTGGAAGCTTACTAGTATCAAATTGTGGTGCTAATCCACAAAGGTATTAAAGTCTATTACCCATTTGCAGCTAATGGAAGCAATTTGATTTTGGTGGTAATAACTTACAAGCTGGGGATATTTCACATATAAAGCTCTTTCTGTTAAGAGGAACCTGCACCTAGAGCTGTTAAACATAACTGTGCATTGGTGAAACTCAGCTCAGACTAGTCAACCACAACTGTGTAGGCAGGATGGCTCTATTTTTCATTTACCTTGGCATTTCATTCTCAAAGGCTCCCAAGATATGTAGGGTGAGGCATGTCTCTCCTCTTCCCAGATCCTTGTCTTCAAAAACTAGGTTGGAGGGTATTTTCAGGACACCTACATAGCTTGCAGGGTTTTCTGGGCATGGGCATGAAACCTCATTTTGCTGCATCTCGTAACCAATCCTTCCCTCCCTTGTCTGCTGTCATTATTTACCAAATTCATTAAAAGGTGCGTTTAATCCTGCTGCCCAGATCTGATTCAGTCCCACTGACTTCATTCAATGGATTAAAAAGTCTTTGGACCAGAGACTCCTTTAGTACTGTACAGCAAAGAACACACCCCTGGCACCATACAAATCTTATGAACATTGTAAATGTACATTAGCATCCTACACAGTAGAAGCCTACAAAATTAGATTATGTGGAACAGCAAAAAGGACATCGGACAACTAAAGATGACAATATTTGTATTTTATAACAGTACAGCTAATTAACAATTACCAACTGTTCTAAGTCAAAGCCATGTGTGTTATAATAGCAGTAAAAATTTAAGGTACATGTGATTCAGTGTAAAACAGGGATGGGGAACCCAGGGCTTACATGCCACAGACAGCGGATATGTGTGTTACAGGAGCCCCATGTGCTCTGTAAATGGAGAGGAGGCATCGGATGTCACTTCCAAGAGCCAGGTTAGCTCTTCCCTGGCCCTGCAGCTGCCACCAAATTCAGGGCTTTGGATTCTTGCTCATCACTCAAAACTAGTGGTTGTGGGCTAGGGAAGGATTAACTTGGCTTGGGGTGGGGGCACCTCCCCAACTTGCGGCAAGCCTGCCAAAAAGGTTGGACACCACTGGTGTAAAACATCAACAGGTACATGTCTAATAGAATCACAGGTATGTCAGCCGAGAATCCCTTACCTACGTACTAGCAGATATGCTGTAATTACCAGCACAAGAAAATAGAAATTTAAATGGCTCAGAATGCATTATCTTTACACTTTTAAACATATTCAGAGACTCAGAGCTAAGTCTAATTTGGAAATGTGGGCACCTGGGGTCCTAATGCTTTCAGCTGGAGTTTTTGGCACTTAACACACCTGAAAACTGTGAAACAGACTCCAAAATCATATCACACATTAGCACTTTCCATGTTGGGTACACTTCACTAATGCAAAAAAAACCCCCACAACACTTCCTGTCCTTATAAAACTTTCATGCAGCTTTCCTGGAGTGAGGAAGAAAGGGGACGAACCGTACGTGATAACTGTTGGTTACTTCTGTTTAAAAAGTTTTCTCCAAAGGTATGTTGATTCCAGGGGGATTTATGTCTTATAAGGAGCTGAAGAGAGCACATATCTGGGTGAATTAATGGATTTTTTTCACAATATGGGGCCATACTGAAAGAATGGAAAAAATTCAGTGCAGGATTTTTGGCAAAGTGACAGAAACTGAGTGGGTAGGTGTGGTGGGAGGGTGTTAAATTTGAAGTGTTTCATTTGATATAACAGGAAACATTTCTGTTTTGGGATATTTAAAACTTTGTTTTTAATTTAGGTAATTTTAAAATGAAAAATGCAGTTTTGGAATGAAAATTTAAATGAAATGTTTCATTTTGGTATCAAAGCAAAGTGGCATTTTCAACTTCTTTTTTCCCCCCATACAAAACTATTCACTGAATTCAACCCAACTTTGTAAACAATTTCAGCCCCTGATATTCCATTTTTCTGTACATTTACTTCTAATGCAAAGGACATTTTTCTGTACATTTACTTTTAATTTTGTTCACTTCTCCATCTGATCTTGCTTTACTAATTTTTCCTCGAACAACACATACTGAGATTGCTAGCACAGGTCCTGAGAGTGCAAGCCTTTTACTCGTGTGAGTTACTTTACTCACAAGTGTAGTCCTGGAGGAAAGAATTATTCAAGCAGACCAATGGTTTGTAGGATAAGGCATATATAGGGGAACCAAAGCACATCACTATCCTTATCTGATTATGCCTATTGCAACTGTAAAACCAAATCCTGCCATGTGTAAGAACAGCAGAATGACTGTCTTAGGCAGGGGGGAGGGGAAGCACTGTAATTTTATACTTGCTTTTGTAATCATCTTGCTCAACTAAATGCTATATGTGTCAATGACTATAACTGAAGCATACTCGGCTGTTACGTTTCTCTATTCAATTCCTTTTGCTTTCAGTTCTTCCCGAACACGTTTCAGATAATTTGGATCAGGGTACCCAAACCTAAGGGAAAAAAAGAGAATGAGTATTTGGGCTATTTGCATACTAAAACATCAGCTGGCAACAGCCCAACATCTTCCCCACACATCTCCTACAGCACGTACATACCTTAATCCAGGGATATCAAACTTGCACTGCCTCATGGTCTGGATTTGGATGCAGTTGTGGTGGTGGGACAAGTGGTGATGGCAGGGCAAGCAGCAGCAGCAAGGCAATGGTGAGGGTGGCCATACTGGAGGACTGGGCAATTATTTAAGGCAACAGGCCACTTAAAGAGCTCTGGTGAGCTGTCCAGGTGTCTCAGAGTGGGAGTCTGAACCCACCCACAGCTGTAGCAAGCCACCACCTACCTCCGCACCCAGGACCCTAACCTGGAAGCTTCTGGCCACATTTGGGCAGATGTGGACTCAGCTAGTAGCTGCCAGGTCTGGACTCAGAAGGTGAGGGGTGCAGTAGGGCATGCTACAGCTGCAGGTACATTCATGCTTCCACTTCTGCACTGGTGGCAGCCCTCACCCAGACAGAGAGAGATGGAGAGAAACCAAGTGTGCCCACCATGCAGGAAGCAGCTCCAGCTGCCTGGCACCAAGCAGCTGTCGGAACTGGAGCCACTGCCCACCCACAGGCCAGATCCATTTACTTGGCAGGTGCCCACCTGCATACTGGATCCAATCAGTTGGTGAGCTGGATCTGGCCCACAGGCTGTATTTTGCCCGTTTCTGCCATAGGGGTTATCATAGTTGTTGCTCACCTACCGCCATTAGTATGGGTCACAAGCTGGGCTGTGTGCCTGGATTTCACTGGCAAGCATCACCCCGATTTGCTCCATTTCCCAGCTCCATGGGCCACATGACACAACACCACATTAACAGAATGTTATACAGTAGTTTTCACACTGTACCCATAGCACGTGCTGCACCCTGGGTCAAGATGTCAGTTTTTGTGGGGAAAAAAGAGTGATGGGATTGAGACAAGCTATATATAATCTTGGCTACTCTCATACCTGCCTGTTCTGAATGAGGGGGGGCAATTTATGTCCAGAACAGATCATAGCTAAGTATGCCAAAAAGCATACTTGGATGCTTTTTGGCACTTGCACAGCTAATAGGCAAATGGCTTGATGCATGACAGATGGTACCATGAATGGTCCAAACATAATTGAAGGATATGACATAGTATTGCATTTGATGGACTAATTTCTTGTTGCAGCAAGAAGGCCTGTGCTCCCTGTTCAAACTAGCTCTTTGACATGAGTGTGACTGAGCACACAATTCTTGGAAGATGGGAGTTTGCAGTAGTTGTATAACTACCAATGCACTATAACAAGGTTTGTGCACAGGCACTTGTACCAATGTAAATGGCAACACAAGGTGCAAAGATGGGGACAGTGAGTGTAAAGATCTGTTCAGGTGTGTGACTGATATGCACTGGGGCTAACAATGTTGAAATGCTGAGGTGCATGCAAGTCTAAAAGCAGACAGTCTAGCACTCCAGTTGCTTAGCAAAACTGCTTAAAAATAAAATACTCACTGTTGTGGTCCCCCACGTATCTGTGTCTTGTGGTGAATATCATTCCAGGTGACAACATCTTCTACACCAGAAGTACGTGACTGACCCACTGTGAAGATCAACTTTTGATTAAAAGCCTTCTTAAGCAGCTCCTGAATTTCATTTCCTTCCGTGTTGTTAGGTAGGTATGCTGTTCGCTGAGTCCCACGATATGGTTTCCCTGGGTTTGGATGATCCTTCTGTTTTGTAAAAAATACAGTAAAAGATGAGTGTGACATATGGTAGAAATGTGTAACAAAAATGAATCTTACATCTCAGCTCCTCCAACTCCTTCATTCTCTTCAAAATCTCAGTGTACCAAATTTTTTATTTTGTTCCTCAGCTATCATGGTTTCTCTCTTCTCTCCTCTAGTTTCCCATCCATTGCTGTTCCTATATACTGTGTTCCTGCTATCCTGATCTCTCTTCCTTTCTTCCTTTGTTTTTCCCATTCACACCATCTTTTTGTATGGTATTGACACTACTATTTTTATTGCAGCAGTAAGGATCCTAGTCAGGACTCACTGTGTCAAGCACTTATCAATGCACTGATGGGATGACATGAAGGTGAGGGCTTCAACTAAGAGGCCATCTCCATTACATACAAACACGTAACAAAAAGATGGTCCCTTTCTTGAAACCTTTCATCCCTCCAGTGCACTGGTATTCCTACCTTTCATCTTCCTGCAATCCAGTACAAGGCCCAAGAATCTCCTCTCACAGCATCTTTACACCTTATTTTTCTATTGATTTTTTTGACTGGGTTAGTTTGGATTCTTTCACACACGTGAAAGGGAAGCTCAGGCATACAAGTGAGGCCTACCACTTGGCTGTATCTTTTACTCCTGATTGGTTAATATTTGATTTTTGTAGGGTTTTCCTTGTAGCCCCAATTAAACATTTGATTGCATATTCATAGTACTGTCTAAAGAAATAGAGTGTGATTTGATCTGCAAACTCCTTAAAAACCTAAGCTTTGTAGTACTTGAACCTAACAGAGTACCTGAGCCTAACAAAAATTATTGGATTAAATACCTACTAGGTTAAAAAAAACTAGAGTCTTTCTAGGATGTAAAAATAAATGGATGAACAATATTGAATTCACATTACAGTTCTATTTTTTTTTAAATTGAGAAACATCATATATCACCTTCAAATATACTTACAGATTGAATTCCATTTGGTATAGTATAGGTGATCACAAGGGTATTACAGTTAAGATAACCAGGAAGTGGATAAGGTGCAGTGGTGACAGACATAAATCCATCTGGTTGATTACCTTTTGCACATCCATAGAAAGTATTACAGATAGGACAGGCTGGCTTATACTGCATTGACTTATCAATGCATACTTTGCAAAACTCATGCTTGCACTTTGACAGTGTTTCTTTTTCACTGATTTTATCCATGCAAATAGCACAGCTCTCTTGGGCTTGCTCTTCTCCTTCTGCCTTTGGTCTAGATTGCTTTTCGGAAAGGAATTTATCTGCTTTTCCTCTATCAGTTTCCTGAGATACTCCTGCTGTCTCTGTAAAGTTGGCCCCATGAAACTGTTGGGCGCCATGGGCTGTTCCAGTTTTAATTTGAGCTGTTTCAGTTTTCATTTGGGTCGAGTTCTCCAGCCAGCTGAATATGTACTTTTCAGCAACAAGCACGGAATCCATTACACCAGTTAAAAGGAGTTTGTCTTCCTTTCTCCTGATTATTACATGCGTGTTTTCTGATCGCAGGTGATCAAGGTAATTATTCAGTTCTTGTTGCTGAACAGCTGGAAGTTTCAATGGGAGGGTTTTCTGAATGATCTTTGATGAAAAAACCTGAAATACAGTGATGAAGCTTTCATATGCATGTGAAGACATATCAGAATCCTTGTTCTTAGGCTTAAATATAACGCGCAATTTCCGACCAGCTAGACAGGGCTTTTTTTCCATTGTAGTATTGAAATTTACTGTTATCTCTTCAATTTCTTTATTTAACATAATTTCTGCCAATTCAAATTCAGTAGCATCAACTTCAATTCCATTTTTATGGGTGTAATATCCAGCTTCTATTCTTATATTTCTTTCAACTGGGCTGTTCATGTCTTTCTCTTCTAGAAATGTTTTTGCCACTTTGATCTCATTTGCTGGACCCCGGAGTATTATTGTATTCCCATGCTTTTTGGCAAGAAGACCCCTAAACTTGGTGTGTACTTTCTGGACTGCTTCATTCAACTCAGAACTATTTGCAAACGCCACTTTCTCTTGTTTCAAATCTCTTAGTGCTTTCTGAAAAGCAGTGATAAAAGACTGTTTAGCATTTTCTGCCAACACAGGACTCCCAGCACATAGGAAGTACACTGAAACAAGCCCGCTGTCTTGTTCCTGGCTTTTTATCTCTACATTGAAACGTTGCTGTAATTCTTCTATTTGTTCCTGGCAGACATGGCTAAAGTATTCATAGAGCGCTGACTGCACTTCAATACTGTTCACTCCATCCACACCATTCTTATCTTCCAACTCCTTCGTTCCTTCAGCATGTAAAAAATCAGTACGTTGGTCATTCTTTACAAGGAGCTGATTAAAGCGGTGATACACTTTTTCAATATCTGCATAGGTTCCTGTCACTTTCTCAATCCCGTGGTCACTAGGATTTTTTTCTGGTTTTAAGCCTGGGCACATACTGATCACTTCCTCCCTTTGCTGCTTAGTGAACAGGTGGGTATTCAAGGTGGCAGACACATGGAGAAAAATCTGAAAGCGAAAGAAAATAAAGAGACATCAGCAGCAGAGTTCTTAAAACTCTCAGCTTGCTTCACAAATATTTTATTTTAAAAAAGCTTTCTATTCCAGTGGTCAGTGATTTTTTCTTTGGCAGCAGGCCAGAACGACCCAGCCTAGGCCCCAGGCACTATGACCTGGCTGGCGCTGTCACTGCCATTTCTCCCTGCTGTGCATCTATGGCGTGACACAGAAAGTACCTGGCAAAAGTTTGGGCAAAGCCTCCTGGCTCCAGACCAAATCCAGTGGCTCTGTGGGCCATAACTTGCCAGCCCCTGGTCTGATACTGTTTCTAAGTGGTCCAAATGACTGTGTTCTTTTTACAAATAAATATTCCTGCATATAATCTTCTATTGATACATGTATACTGCTACTGAAGTGTGCATGTTTATGAGAGTCTGTTCAGAATGCAGGTAGTGCCAAATCTTCTATGCGCTCACATGAGATGGACAGTGGCAATATAAAGAAAACCCCTGCTTCTTTCTTAAATTGAAATCAAGCAGATGTTAACACGACATACAAAATATCTTATGATACACTTTGGAGTCTTTGTCTGATGGCATTCCTTAGAAAGCCTCTAATAAACAAACCTTAGGACTAAGACATATGACCCATTAACAGTGGCATAATTTTAAATCAGTTTTTATACCAGTGCCAGTTAAACCAGGACGTAGAGTGGACAGGCAACCAGTCATCCCAAGGTTTGTTCCCTGCCTATGTGCTTTTATAACACTGCCTAACTATGTGGCAGGGGAGCTGCTAATAGTTTAGTTGCACTGAATAAATATCTACCCCAGGTTAAGTGCAGACCCACAACACCTCAGTGGTGCAACTTGCACTGGTGTATTTCTGCAGTTTTTTTCTTTCTGGGGTAAATCTTAATTTTCCTAAACTACACTTGTGTAGGACTAAGCCACATCCCCCCCTTTCATTACACAGATATAAAGGCAGATTAGACTGCTGTGTAAACGTGTCGCATGCCCAGGCCTTCAGTCACTCAATAGCAAGCCAGACCCAGGATCAGAGCGCACAAACTGGGTCTGAAAAACAGAATGAGTTTCTAGATTTCAGGGGACCTGGGCATGCCACAAACACAAAAGAGATGGAAATCTTTACCCCTCGGCCATCCCCTCCCTGCCCAAATCACCCCACTATTCTCTGTTTCTATGCTAATCGGAGAAATGGATGACTGCCCATATTCATTGAGTATGAAGTTTACAAATTCAACCCACAATAACCATTTCCAGCTTTTCAATTTTCGCTAAAAGGTGAAACAAGCTCTTTTCCCCTAACTGGTTTATGGAAGCTTAGCTATAGCTGTGTTACTTAGCAGACTTCGGAGAACCATTGTTTCATACGTCTTTGGACGTACCTGATCAGTAAAAGTGCTAGATGAACTGTCGTTACGTTTTTCACCCAGGTGCTGGCTAGCAGTACTCTTCTGAGGCTGCAAGAAGCCCAAAGCAGCAGGTAACCCTGAGGACAGTGGTGTCGACTGGCTTTCCCCAGGATCTGCTGTGTCTGACTCCGGCTCGATTGAGATCTGCACATTTCTGTTGTCCAGCTGTATCTCGTGATGTCCATGCGATTTTACCCGTTCCCTTGCTAGAGCCATTTGGGAACAAATTGGGGGAAAACGTCAGGAACGGCTTAGCACATTGATGAACCCCAACTAGCCAGCAAGGCTGTGGTGCCTGGGGTGCATCCTCCCCCAACATGCAACACGTACCAAACCCCAGAGAGTTTTCCAGCCTGCCGTAAGAGGCGCCGGAGAGTCTACCAGGGTGAAGGAGGCCAGAAACCGCCCCTGTAACTGCAAGGGGGTTAAATAAAGGGGGCAGCGCCGGGACAAGGCAGGCTTGAGGGCCCTGTTCCTCGCTCTCAGATTTAGAGGCCTCCAGCTCCCCCCTACAAATAACACGGGACGCCCCGAGAGGACGAAGTCGCGGGAGCCACCCGAGAGAGCGCCACGACGCACCCCAAACGCCACGCGCGACGAGGGGGACACCCGGCGCGGGGGGGGGATTGGCCGCGACCCAGCCCCGCGTGGTAACCGCCTTGAGGCGAGTTTTGGCGGGAAGCAAGGGGCGAGGGGTGCCCAGGAGGGGGCGCGGGCTCACCGAGCGGGCAGACGAAGCGCACGAGGTAGGTGCCGGGCGTGGGGCCACGCCGCAGGTTGCACTCGCCGCCGCCCGAGCGCTGAGGCGACTGGAAGTGCAGCAGCAGTTTGCGCTCCAGGCGGTCGCCCGGCGGCGCCGACACCCGCACGCGGAGCGCGGCCGGGCCCGGCGCTGCGGCCATGGTCGGGCAGAGCTGCGGCAGGCAGGCAGGGAGGGCGGGGAAGGGAAGGAGGAGCCGCCGCGGCAGCTTTCGCTTTCGTTTCCCCGCGGCTGCAGCGGCCCCGCCCGGAGATCAGCGCAGGTAGTCGGGGTCGTGGGCAGGGCCGCGGGCTTCCTACCAGCAGTGCCCAGGCTGCGGGGGCAGCGGGGACTTGCCCCCCGGACACTTTAGGGGCGGGGAGGTGCTGCTTCCCTCCCAGCTGTTCAACTGGAGGTGAAGTCCGACAAAACGGGCAGGGGGGCAGGAGCTAGAGCCCGGTGCGCGGGGGTCGCCAGCCCTCCAGGAACGGGATGTGCAGGTCTCCCTCGCCCGCCATGGCGTTGGGTAGCCACGCGTGCCGTTTTGGCTCGAGTAACCGCAGTTTTCCGTGGCCAGAGGTGGGCCCCATCCCTACCCGTGGGGTGGCCATCATAGAGGGCAGGCCGGTTGTCCTCTGTCGATACGAAACCCTTTATGTCGCCTTGATCTCCTCAATTTTTCAAGTGAAAGGCATTTTTTCCAAGAGAAAAATACAGGGCGTAAAGGCGTCCAGGTTTTGTATCAATAGAGGCAGAATGGCAGAAAACCGGGGTGTCCTTCTAGCATACCCCCGATAACCTAAGTGCCCCTAGGGGTATGCTTACGCCCCGCTGACCACCATGTGCATTAAAGGTAAGTAAAAATGATTTGTATACACTATACTGTACAGTATTCAAGTCCCTAACCCCATTTTCCCCCATTAGCCGTTAGTTTTACCATCCGTGGTTTTGCCAACCATGGGAACTTTCTGGCGTCAAACTCCTGCGGTTGGTGAGGGAGGCCTGTAAATCCTCAGGAGGCTGCTGAGAGTCACCCGGGAGATAAATGATGGGGTGCTCATTAAGATAAATGGTAAATCTGATTGATATAGTATTCCAGTGGGTTTTTGAAATGTAGTAGCAACGTGCTTTTGCCTTCTTGACGTCAAGTCTACGCACTGTATCTGTAACTGATCTCTGCCAGCACGCGGGCACGTTCGCGGTGTGCGCATCGCAGGCATGCTGGTGTTTTGGAAACCTGGAATAGACTCAGTGTTGGCAACCTGAGGCTCGTGGGAGGACGTTGGACAGCGCTGGGCAGGGGTGATCCGGGTCCAGCCATGCCTGTGCTCTGCTGTGGGGATCTCCCAGGCTTCTGGGTCTTGCGGTTCCCCTTCCTGCTTCTGCCATATGGGTCAGGGTGTTTTTCAGCCTCGCTCAGAGGCACCGGGTGTTGGCTGCGCCAAGGCTGGGGGCTTTGACTGGGCTGTGCCCATGCTGCTGCTGGGACCAAAGCTGGAGGTTCCTGGCTAGAGGGTCTTGCCCCTCCATAGACAGATTTGGGGTCTGGAAGGGATTTTACTCCTTGGTCAGATTGATACAGCCTTGGGGCAGGAGATGTGGCCCTCTCCCTGGGATCTCTTCAGTATATATTGACAACATTTCATAGAAGCAGGACGCTGGCTGCTGGGGTCCCCTCCTTAACCTGTGGCAGGTTCAGGTATTAGATCTGTGTTGTGCCAGAGTCGGCAGTAGTCTTACATAGAGTTTAGATTGTGGATTGTATAAAATGGTTTGGAGGAGGCAGGGTTTGGATTAGATGTGACCTCTGGAGCTCTCTTCCAGGCCTGGTTCTCTGAGTCCCCTGATTTCTTCCCCAGGGATCTGCTTAGACTCTGATCCCACAGTGACCTGTCGAGAGGCAGATCCCAGCCCCGCTGTAAGGTTCAAGGATGGGTAGCGGGCTCTGCCAGCTCAGAGGTCCCTGCAAGGCTTGGGTTTGGATGTGTCTGGGTGTATTGCTCAAAATGGCTGCTGCTGCCATTAAATAATTCGAATGAAGGTGGATGTATTTATCTCGGTGCACATGGGACTCGACTCTGCTCTTCGTAGGCCAGTGGATCAGTGACACTGTGTTTTGTATTTCCACAAGAGTGGCTGGGATCTGGCCCTCAAATGTAGCTACACACTGGATGATCTCTGTGGTGTGAGGATATGTCGTTCACCTCTAGCATAAATCCAAAATCACTCCACCGAGGAGTCTGCCAGACCAAGACTTGTTTACTTGCGAGGAGAGTTGGCATTGCGCTTGATCCGTCTCGTCTGTGGGGGTCTGTTGTCAATGGCACCGTCACCGTTCTTGAGCCACAGCATTTGATTTAGAGCCATCCAAAAGATCAGATCTTGATTTCATCTAATTTAGACATTGGAGTCCTTTGTAGCTCTTGGATATGGATCAAAACATCTCCACAGCCTGAGGTGTTGATACAAACCTATCTAAATTGAAAAAAAACCTGCCTTCAGAACATGGACATGTGAAGTAACTGATAATGCTAAAGATGGATTTCAGGTCCAAAACCACAATCCTGTACCCCTTGTGAAGCTCTGGAGAATAAGCTCACATTTCTGCTGTGTGGACAAGCCATTACAATACCATTCTCACCAAGCCAGTCTGTTGTGGTAGATAGCAATGGACAGCATGTCCAATTAGAGGTGTTGTTGCAACACATGAGAGTACTGTATATCCCAGGGATGGGCAAAATGTGGCCCGGGGGCTGGATGTGGCCCATCAGGCCATTCTATCTGGCCCACAGGGCCCCTAAAAAAATTAGAAAATTAATATTAATCTGCCCTGGGCTGCCTGTCATGTGGCTGGTGATGCCTTGCCAAAACTCAGTAAGTGGCCCTCTGCCCAAAATAATTGCCCGTCCCTGATATACCCAAACGGGCATTATTGTAGTTTAACTCAGATCCCCATGGATGTAGCAGTATGGGCTTCTCTGTGATTTTTACAAGCCCATCCAGAAGTGTAGGTGCTTACTCAGTTTTGAAAGCTGCATATGACCCTTGCTTTGCTTAACTCTCTTCCTGCATCAGAGAGGTAAAGCCACCCCTGGACATGAACCTAAGTCATTCTGGAGAATTTATCTCTGGTTCCTTGACTGCATACAGCTTTTTACCAAAATACCATCTTCTGTCTGACAGAGAAGCAGTGTATTGAGTCATCAGAGAACAGCTACTGGTGCCAGAAACTCTTGTCCAAATCTGTGACCAACTCGCTGGTTCATTTCAGGCAAGTGGCTGAGGCCAGCATTTGCAAAATGGGCTGCTTTCCACAGAGTGTGCTTCCCCTTGGACAGAGGGACTGAGGTTGAATGTGTAAAAGGAGACACTGAGCTGGCCAAAACTCATACTGACTCCATGATAACCAGCCTGGGGCATTCCAGGATAGTTAAGAAAAATCTGCTGGGGGAAGGCAGTTAGACCCTGGGTAGGGGCCTACCCAAATCAGGATTTTTGTAGATTTAGCAGAAATTGCAAAATTGGGTGATCTCTGCAACTGAGTGATCAGGAGGTGGTGGTGCTGTTGGCAGTGGGAACGTGGTGGTGGCAGGTGGGGAGCTCCCGCGGGCAGCTGTGGTGCTGTTGGCGGCAGGGGTGGGGGGCGGCGAGCGCTGACCAGCAATCAGCAACCACCCGTTGATGCCACTGACAGTGTCAGTGATGGCCAGCGGTGATCATGAACCACCTACAGATGCTGCTGGCGGTGTCAGCAGCAAGGGAGGGGGCAGTGAGCAGCTGCAGAGGCCACCATCAGTGTCAGCCGTGCCTTTCCGCAGGGGGTGCACGTGCACATGTGTGCACCCCCTATGCGTCGCGACACCAATGATTTGAGTGACAATTGGTTGAGAGATGTGATTGACCGGTGGCCTGATATGATCAGCATAAAACCTGTGTGAGTCGTGACCTTGGTGTGAGATTGGACTTTGTGCGC